AAGGTGGCAGAGCTCTTTAGCTGGTGGGGTTGTGATCATTTCTGTTGAGAGATGGTTGTTGTTAGCTTCATTTTTGGGGTACCAAAGCGTGAAGATCATGGTGACAGCCCAACGATTTGCCAAACCTTGGTATCAGTGACTTTGGAAGAAAAGTAGGGAAGAGTCAGGAATAACCTATCCCTAGAGTGTGTTTCCATGTAATCTTTACCAACACGTGGTTGGCTTCTGCTTTCGTGTTTTCCTTTCCCATTGAGTGCAATGCTGGGTCCTGATAAGGATCTTGCASCTTTTGGATTCTGGCTAATTTCTTCACCTGACTGGCCGTGCCTGTGCTGGCACAYGAAGCAGGCCAGGACCTGCTCCAGCCCAGAGGGTGAGAGGCATGGCATGGCTTGTGCTTAGGGAATAAAGCCTTCCTTCTCCACAGGGCAGGGCACTCTTCTCTATAAGGCCAACTGGAAGCTGTGTCCATGGCTCTGCTTCTTTCCTGCTCTTCCGCTGTTGACCTGTGGTAAGAATGAAATCTGCAAGGGATTTTACTCTTAAAATATCCTTCAGCTGAGCTGCAATTGCCTCTGGTGTGCTAGGATCTCTGTGTGTTGGTAGACACGACTTCTCTAGACCATTAATTTTTTTACACGCTGGCAYTCTGTCACTCCCTGTTTGCATAGTCTCTGAAGGAAGCAGATGCAATCTCTCCCATCTCTCCCCSTGCTGACGTCTTTCTGTGCTGCTCATCACTCTCATCAGCTGTTCCTGAGCTGCCTCTAACCCACAGTTGGAAATTCAAAGCCAGGCCCCTCCCCAGCTGCCGCTTTGATGTCCCTTTCTCCCCCTCCACATCACCTCCATCGCTCCCTTTGAACACCAACGTCGTGATAAGGTTTATGAAATTACTTCCCGTTAGGATGAGGGCACCCAAACCCTGCTTGTCTCAGGACCATCTGCTGCTTCTGACATGGGTATGGTTTGTATCTTCTAGCAGAAAGACAAGATTCATTGAGTTGCCACGGTTAGTGAATCAGAGGCCTGGAATACATGCATAAACACTAATTAAACCCAATTTAAAAGTGTCTGATATTTATCGAGCTTCATTTAGTTAGGGATCAAAATTAAATTATTGATTAGTGAGTGAAGCTACGTCAGTGTCATYCTCTAAAGTAAACAGCAGAACATCTACCTGAAGGGACCAATTCAATTCTCAGAAATGGTTTGATTTGGTGCCACTTAGGAATAYCATAAGACTGAAAGCCAAATGTTTGCATTTAAATTATATCCCAATTGAAATTTTGGGGTTTGAATTCACTGCATAATTCTCTTCTCCTGAAAGTCAGAGCTTGGATGCTTGGATCTAGACTGGTTTTTGGCTTTTGGGTTTGTTTTTTTTTTTTTTTGTAATTCAGGATTTAGGAGACAGGAGCCAGCAAAGCCTGCTTGCTCAGCAGCTTGCAGAAAGTCTTCCAAATGTGGCCAGATGAGGAGGGGGAGCATCAATGATATCACTGTTATAACAGTTTTTGGAAAAGACCTTCAGAGGAGCAGAACAYGATAGAAATGCTGGAGGAGAGTGAGAATTGCAGACAAGGGTTAGGGATCCAGTCATGGAAGACACCCATTKTTAGCAACTTCATTAGAGGGCTACAGAAGACCATTGGGAGACAATAAATTTTTGTGCAAATGTTGCTTTAATCCAAATAAGTTTAGGGGTAATATATACCAGCAAGAATAGGAGAGATACCAAGAATTTTCCTGGAGAGGAAGAAAAACTAATATTGGCATTTATTTCCTTGAATACTCCATCTTTCTGTTCAGCACTATTTCTATTTTAAATGGGAAAATATAAGCTGCAGATCTGCTACTAATTTTAAAATTAACAGCTCCTTTTCCTTTTTTTCCCCAAGTAAGAACTTTTAACTTGTTAGTAGTTGGTGAGATATGAGGACCTTGGAGCCAGCTGGAATCTCACTATTTATGTTGTGGCAGAGCCTGGAGATCATAATCAGCCTTCCAGGTGCTGCACAGAGATGGAGCCTTCTCCAAACAGCCTCAGAATAGGTAAGGGTTGGAGGGAGGACTAAAAAAAGATGGGGAGGACAATGTGAGCTCAGGCTGCCAAGCAGGTTGGAGCTGGGACTTCTCTCCTGCATCCTCCATCACCCTTGTACACCCTTGTACAGTTTTCCACTGTTTTCCTGATGTTGTATTTCAGCAGTTCTAGCTGATTTCTACCTCTYGTCACTGACAAGGACAAAACTCAGCCAATTGTGCTATTTAAATTTTTTTTTGGGAGGGAAAGGTAACGTATGCGTTTCTCCTGCTTGGAGACACCAATCCCATGAAATATAAATGCTGCCAGAATTTTCACTCTAATGGTACAAAGGATGCCACTACAAAAAGCCCCGCTGCTATTTTTATCCCTCATCCAGCTGCCCTCCATAGCTTTCTGTTTATGTTTTCCTCTTTTAGGAGACAGCCTTATCACCAAGCAGAGGRTGGGGGCTGGAGCACCTAAACAAAGCTGACTGCAAAGCAGAGGTGGGTTGGCTGTGGGGTGGTGACAAGGAATTCTTCCTCCAGACCTAACTTTGACTATAAACTCTAGTTCCACTTTGTAACTTAAATTGCCTCAATTTTGTCCAGCCTCCCCACTTCACTCATATGAAGAGCGATAAAGGAAGACAAAGGTGAAATATCCTCTAAATAAAAGATGAGGTAATTTTGAAGGCACATTAGATTTTATATGTATTATGGCTTTTTATATAAGTCCACTGAGTGCTGAAGCATCTCCAGTATGGAGCTGTCACCTGKTATTTTCCACTTTATGGCAGTTTGCAGAAAATGTGTCTCTGGTGCAAATTACTCAGAATCCTCACTGACTTTCTGGGGTGGGGAGTTGCATTGGTGGAGATGGTTTTATTGTTGTTGTCTCCCGTTTTCCTCTAACCTTAGCCATCGTTTTCAAAGGAAATAGAAAGTGACCCTCTGTACATGAACCAAAGATCTCACTGAACTGAAAGAAGGTGTTTCCCAAGCAATCTGCTGAAATGAATGCACAGGATTGCTGTGGGTGAAATTCTGGCTGAAWTTCAGCGGTTTGTGTTATGCTGCCTGGATGAGCCCAAACATCTGACCTTAAATCTGTGAACCAAACAGAGTGAGGTTAGTGCTGGTACGGATGCTGTAGCAATGCCACAAACATAAAAAAAACCATTGGTCTGGTAAATTATAGGCTTTAGAGTTTTAGAATGTTTCACAMTGCCTGAAAAAGAATAATTCTTGCATGGATTGCTGACCAGGAAATTTGTAATTTGCCTCTTCTGTCTTCATTTTCAGTCTTCTTTGGTGGATGAGCTGATGTGTTTCTGGCAAAGAAGAATGTGAAGGCTAGGCACAGGACAGAGTGGCCAAAAGCAGTAGGAGATGTTAACCATGACATGAACTACTCTGTAGACCAAGCTCTGTTTCTGCTTCTCTTCCCTGAAGGGCAYAGGGGAGAAGAGATTAGCTGTGTCACCTCTGATGGAAATCAACTTGCTGGAAGGGAATGTAACCTTCTTGGCTACATTTAGACTTGTCAAGTCTCATGTATTGTCTGGGAGAGTCTCTCACTTGCTCGCATCATGTCTCATCCCAGACACTGGCAGCAGGGTGACCTGACCTTGGTCTTGCAGTGGCACCTTGAGGGCCAGGGTAGCCTGCTGGGGAAAGCTACCAGTTGTATCAGGATTAGGGGATGCAGTGCTGAGAAACCAGATTAGGTRCACTCAAGAGTGACCTCGCATCCATAGGAGACTTGGTGGAAGAGAGTCTTCCAGCGCCACTAGTTAAATTATCTGACTTCTGGAACCTCACATGCATGGTTAGAGGAATCAGAAACCCATAGTTCCTCCAGCATTCTCCCCAGTTATTTCCTTTTTTCTTTTTTTTTTTTTTTTTTTTTTTTTTTTTTTTTTTTTTTCTAGGTAGGGTGTGCTGTAGGAAGGAGTAAATCTTTCTGATCTTGTTGCACCACAACTGTCATTAGTTATGGTATGTTCAGAGACACATGGACTCCAGGTCAAGAAGGAGGCAGTGATTAGCAAATTTCATCTCCCTTTCCCCTCTGGCTCGCTTCGACTGTAGAACATCTCCCTAAAAATGGGATTAAGTCATAGGTTTGATAAAGAGATCTAATCTTGTAAAGGATCTAAGCAAAGTGAATCCTCCTCTCACTTGGCAAACTGTCCCAGTGTTTAATCACTTTTACCCCCAGGAAATGGCATCTTGTTTCAAGGTCAAGTTTATCACCTTTCCACTCCAGCTACTGAAACTTCTCTCGACTTTCTAGGAGGAGACCTCGCTGGGAGCTGGGTTAGCTCTCTGTTCTGAGATGCCCAGCACTCCAGTTCAGGGAAGTGACCTCTGCATGGCTCTAAGGTGCTCCCAAAGTGCACCAGGAGTGGGACAGCTGGGAGGAGTCTGGGGTCGCACCAGCCGGGAGGGAGAGGAGAGAGTTCCTCCATCTCTGGGAGTCAGCAGTCATGCTTGCAGGGAGGTGGAGAGGGGGATTTACCTCCACAGCTGTCTCAGTGTGCTCTGGTGTATCAGTCATCCTTGCTCATGGGTCTCCAAAGGGACTGGATCCATACTGGACTGCAGCCAGGAGGGCTGAGCTCCCCTGGTGTCATGAGGTGACACTGTCCCCACTGCTGCACACCCCCTGGCTCATTCCTTTTGGGCTGACTCCAGGAACTTTTGCTGCACACCAAACCCCTGTGGAGCTCTGGGATCTCAGGCAATGCTGCAAGACTGACCCAAACTGTTGTGAGCATGCCGTTATCCCCTCACAGAGGTGCTTTGTTTATTCTGCTTGGAGGCCTGGAAGAAATGCTCCTGGCAGAAACYCCTTTTATATGGACTTAYTTTGGCCTGTAAAAAGTGCATCTCRAGCAAGAGGTTTCCAGTTGCTTRCYGTAGCCCTGTAGTCAAAACCTCAGACCTTTTCTACCAGGTCCCTGGTCCTGGGAAAAGAGTCAAACCTGCTGCCTGTTGTTGGCTGAACAAATCCTTTCTTATTCCAGCCAGAGCCATCCAGGTCTCCTGGCCTGCCTTGACCCCGCRCTCCTCAAACCATTATTGCAACAGCGACAAGGGAAGATTGAGGCCAGCTGTCTGAGAGTGGCCAAAGCAAACGAGGAGGTGGCAACGTGTGCTGGGGCCCCAGAGCCAAAACCTCTGTGTGCAGCCTGCAGGGAGCCAGGGAATGGGTGCAGGGCTGCAGCCATCCCCTAGCGGACCTGGAGCCAGCAGCTGGAATCCTTGCCACCTTGCTGGAATCCAGCCACAAGGGAGGACTCGGAGCAGGTCAGTCCCTGGAGTCCTCTGCTGAGTAGTTTATTGATGTCTTGGTTAACCACTTGCGGTAGGAGCCAAGTCTGTCTGTGAAATGCACTGCTCTGGAGCTGCCAGTGTAAGTACCTTCTGTCACCAGGGGAGGGAAAGAAGGATGGGGGAGAAAGGAAGAGCATATGTTCTTGCTTTTAGTCCTGCTGCTTAGCATGAGGGAGTGGGAGGCATGTGTGTGCTGGAGTGAAGGCTTTTTTGACTACATTCGTTATTGCTATGAAATGAATGTTTTTTTTCCAAGTAAAGCATACAGTGCCTAATGTCTTGCACGGCATTGGACACAGCAAAACTCAATGTCCTCAAATACCTCAAGAAAATTTCCTTAAATGTTAAGCCTTGACTCCCCTCCAGCTGAAGATTCTTGGGCCAGCCCCATCCACATCTGTAATGAAATGTCAGCCCTTCAGTGATGTCTTTTCACATGAGCTTCTAGCAAATTCTCCTCTGCAGCCTTTGCAGTTTTGTCCTTGAACATCTGAAAGAAATAGTTTTACAGATGTAGCTGGCACATATTTGCTTGTACCTCAGTCCTCTGGTTAAAAATTGCTAGTGGGTGTGGACAGCCTTGTCATCCTGGATGTTCCTGTCTTCCCCTGGCTCACCTTCACTACTGAATAATCTGCAGCCTTTCATCTGTCAGAAAGGAAGTGTTGTGAAACTCCCTGTGCCACCTCCAAGCTGGCTCCTCAGCTAATGAAAAGGGGAGTGTCTCCATGTTCCTGTGTGTTGACTAAGTAAATCTAGAAATGAACCTTTAGCTATCACTGCATTCCTTAATGGTTTTGTTTTTTTTTTTTAATTTAAGTGTGTATGTGTGTGCATGTATGTGTGTGATTCTCTGTTGAAACATAGGAAATGTTGATAGTAAGTAGTGCTAAAAAGGAGACCATGTCCTTGTGATTGTTTTAGGAAATGAAATGATTTTGTGAGCACAAGAATAAATATTGGTTAGAACACTACAGTGCTTTGCTCATAAAAAGCACAAAATTGGGTTGTTCAGGAGATGAATTAAGCCTGCAAGTTCAGCATTAGCTAACAAAAATAATAGATAAATAAGGATAAAACAATTGTTCTCAAGCACCTGCTCTTCGACTGAAAATATAACTGAAGATATTTGTGCTTGTCACTGAAGCGAGAAGGTCACTCATGAGCAAGCGTAGATTGAACTGAGATGGCCGAGGCAGTTATTGCATCTATGTGTCCTCCCCATTTCCCTGCTGGTGGTCAGCATCTTGCTGAAATGCTAGTGAAGCTGATCCTGAACTGCTCAAAGTCCGAACCAAAGTCTATTTTCGTGTGCCTTTCTGCAAACTGCAGTGCCTGTGGGTCATTTTGTTGGGCTGCCCCAGTGTCAGGGCTGGCAATGTCTGTCTGTGAGCAGTAACTGCTCCAGCCATCACACTGGTGTGTGAGATGGAGGTGTTAATCGACTAATTTTAATTTACAGCAGCTGAAGATGTGGTCTTACCTCCTTTGCTTTCTAAAGTCATGTGTGGTTCTGGTGGGGAGATGCAATTTGGCCACAAGTGCGGGAGAACCAAATGATTAGATCTGATCTGTAGGTAAATAAATATCCATCAATAACTCAGCCTCTGTTGTCTACTCCAAACTTGTTTCTTTGTACAGAGACCACTGACTTTAATAACTAAGGTTCAGCCTCTGGCTGTTTGAATAAGATCCTGAGTGAGTTTTTTCATAATCACTGCAGCTTTGGAATCTTCCCTCTGGGACCATTCAGTTCTAGAAATTCCATTCAGCATTCAGAAAATCTCGGTTATTCTCAAGCAATAGATGTGTATGAAACACACAGGCAGTGAATGATACAAACCCACAGGCCTGAGTAGCTGTTTGGTCCCCTTTTTTGCCTGACCAGTGTCCTATCCTGATGACACATGGGGACATCTAATGGTTGACTAATAGACCACAAGGAAATTTCCCATTGTATGTCTTGGTTGATGTTTTTACCAGAATTGGTTTTCTCTCTTCTTTGCTACTTCTCATCTTTAAAAAATTGTCAGTTTTACTGATTATCTTAATTGACTCACTTTTAGGGGCAAACTGTAATCATCAGCTGTAATTTCAATCTAGGCAGCAAACTCTCTTCTAAGCAGAAATAAGAGAGAAATCTAAGGATACTCATCTGCCTAATTTAACAAGAAAGATACAGGGATCTGACTTGACTGTGAAACAGAAATCTTTTCAGCAGAGATGTTGATGAACTCTGCTCAGACTAGCACAGAAAGAATTAATCAGAAACAAGGGCTCTAAACTGAATGAAAATTTTGCCACCTAAATAGGTGTTTTTGCTTGTTTTGTTTTGTTGTGGTTGGGTATTTTTTTGTTTGTTTTTTAATTTTATTTTTAGTCTGGGATAGAGCCCTGAAGGAAAAACTGAATCTTGCATTTCTTGACATTTTCAAATTAGGCCTGTATGCATTTTTACGAGATGAGCTTTAGTCAAACCTAAACTCCTACACTCAACCCAAGAGTGTAGTATGTGGTTTAATGGAGAATGTCATCCAAGAAGCCAGGCTTAATCTTTTAATGGGGCTGTCTGGATTTAAATTTATGAAGAAATATTTGGTGTCTTGGTGTGCTTGCAAGACTCTCCTGACTGCTGTCGTGGTTGGCACATAGTTTTGTAGTTCCTTTGACTACAGTCAAAAGTTTCTTGTCTTTTTGCTTTGATGGAACTCTTTATATTAGGGGATTCTGTCTTTTTGTGCTCAGCTTTAGGTTCTTCTCTTGCCCTTCTCTGATACTGCAACTCAACCATTTTTTTTTCCCAGAAGAAATGAAGGCTAGAGAAGTCCARATGTACTCAGGACAATACAATCTTCTTTCTGCTTTGGTTCTTGTACATCCTAAATCTGCACGTGGTGTCTGGATGTTGCCCTACAGAAGTCTGTAACTACTGAAAGAATTCCTACATAGCTCATCAAATTTTGTCTCCAGATCTTTAAACTGTGAGGAATCCTTCAGGTTATCACAGTTGCAGGTTACACAACATATGTGAATGTTCTGCTATGACTTGGGGAGACAATCACTTGGCTCATTACCCATTGGAAAGCAGAATTATTAATAATGTTAAATCAAATATAACCTAATCTAAAGGCGTAGCTGATGATGTGCTTATCAACATACTTTGCTGATTTTTATCAGGTGGAAAGTGGTATCTTCAAAGATTAAAGGAAAGAAAAAGAAATCTTAATACTCAGTGATGAAAGTATTGGTGSCACCAGTGCAATCTGCAGACCTAATACAATATTATTTTGGAAAATGAATTTGCTGTTTCACAGTATTAGTGAGCATGCTTGAAGTTTTAATTTTGAACAGAATACCTTGTGTGGTTCATCCCCTTCAACCCTAATCTGGCTTTTGCATGGCTGAAAAAAAATCTTCACACCAGCACGGAGCCAAACAGAGATGCCAGGCTCCAGAGAGGTGCAGGAATCCATCTGGGAAGAGGAGGTTTTATGGTCAGGCCCTGCAATTAGGGTGATTTGTCAACGGGTAGCAGGAAATGAAGCCTGATTATGGGATCCTGATAGCAAGAAATCAGAAAACGAGCTCAGATTTAGGGATCTGCTTTTCTGTCTCCCTGAAGAACTCAACTGCCATTGCCTGAGCCAGGCTGGAAATGAACATGTGAAAGCAGTGTATTACAGAGCAGAGGGTGGTGTCTCAAATAGAGGCCAAAGCTGAAGCTGTTGATGGAAAAATTGATTTATTTAATGTATGTTAAGGGAGAAGAAGCTTTTTTTATCTGAGGTATTTAAAACTAATGTAAATAGATRCATATATTTTGATCTCCTGATTTGCCAGTGCAAGGAGTGGCAAACAGTAGATTACTAAAATAAAGWGGGATTAAGTTGGATTAAGTAGAARTGCTATTTATAACATTTTCAAARGACTTCCATCCTTATGTCCTGTGGAAAAGAAGAAACCTGTTCAGTCACTGGATGAAGGTGGAAATCATGACTATCTGGAGCTGTGATTGTTGATGATGTTTGTTGGTTTGATTTTTAACCATGTGATTAACAAAGCTTGAGATGGGAGCAAAGCCTTCATTTTTTCAGTTGCATTCAGAAATTAAAAGCATTAATGACTGCCACGTAAGAGCAATTTGACATGCACTTTATGCAGGGTCAGATAATGATATTTTTTCTGGAGGGCTRGTTCTTTCATTACTAACATACCAAACATACCAAACATCTCATTCATACTGGAATATGTGACTAAAACACACAGAATCATGCCAGGAAGGGGCTTTTGTAGCTAACACCTAGGTAACATCAATTTGAGGAAGGAAAAAGATTAACTGGAACCAAATCACAGATTTCTCCCTAGRGAATGCAATCAAGTATGGCATTTTTGGGGTTAAAGTATTTGTGAAATRCAAAGGTGGCAAATTTGATTCAGTAGGCTTTGATGGTGCAGAGCTGCACAGGTTTTTGCCTATGCACTGGTTCAACTTCAAACCTGACAGAGCTGAGATCTGACAAYGCACCTTGGATTTTTTCCCTCTGACTGCACATCCTTGGCTTCATTTTCCCCAAGAAACTTTCCTCACAGAAGAGGACCTAATCCACCTTCTCCCATTAGGTAATGCCTGGCCTCACAGAGGTTTTCAGTGAGCAAAGCAAGGTACTTGTGCAAAATATTTATAACAGGACCTGAAACTTGAAAATCCACTTACTTCTTTTATTAATCCTCATTACAACTGAGTTGGTTTTGCACTTGATTTTGAAGTTTGCTTTSTTTAATCCATGTCTCTGTCCAGTGCCTGCTTTTACTGGACTATGGGAACACCTTTTATATGTGAAAAGCAAAGGCAAAGTAGAGAAAGGCAATGTAATTTAAAGYTGTATATGAGACTTGTATTCAACTCCCTGTTCTGTAATAGGTTTTGTAAATTCTGTGCCAACACTCTATCTACTGATTAACCTTCCTCTTTGAGCCAACCCTTATTTCTTTGACTGAGTGCTGCTCAAAAGTGTTGCTTTTATTTGAAATATCTATGAGTGAGCACCYATTTTAATTGAAATGGGAAAAGAAATTCAA